GGGGTGCTACATGGGCACCCCTAGAATGGATACCTGTGGTGGGTAAATGGTATATGAGGTGGCCCTGGGTGTGAACCTATGATGGGAGGAGCCCGGGTGAGAGGTGCTGTGGTGGCACGGTAAATGAAAACCCTGATGAAGACATTCTGGCTTGGTCATCCCTAAGGACTTACTAGTACTCAGATTCACCGGGAAGCCTTACGTACCACTCGCCCTATATGGTGCGGGACGGCCGGACTACTTGGTAGGGTATTGCCACTACTGCAAGGTTGATAGCGGACAGTGTGAGGGAGGTATGTGGCGTGGAGGATTTTCCCCACACCCTTCTGAGACTTCATGGAGACCTTGTGGACCCGGTTCATGACTCACAGTTTCAGCCACCCTAGACCGGACTTGGGGTGTACTAGGGCTGAATGGTAGAGTGGCATTATCCTAGGCTAGCAAGCGGCGAAATCAGCCCAGTTGACGACGGTCAACGAGGAAGGCGGATCTTGTGGTTATGTAAAACCTCTGCAGAGTGTATGGTTGATCGATCGATACATATGCCGACTTGTCGGCTATGGACCTTTCTTGGGTTTCTCTTAAACTAGATAGTGAGATGAGTCCTTCTCTTCTCCCCGAGAGTGAGTGTTCGGACGTAGCTAGGGGCTACGGGCCTTGAGACAGTGCCGAGAGGGAGTTGGCCTGTCGACTGAGCGATGGTATGAGTGTGGTATGGTGATGGTGGGGAGATAGTGGTGTATCGATCCCAGGATCGAAACCTGGCTCTGGAATGGGAATGGGGTGGAATGGGTGTGTGAATGGTGTTAAAACTTGACCAACTATTATTATGTACTTGACATGCTAATACATAGGAAACTCCAGCCTTATAGGTTCCTTTTGATTATATCCAACTTGCATCCAATTTCCACGAAGCAATGCTCATAGGGTTGGGAGTGGCCAGTACAAATCGTACTGATAAATTTTGCACACAGGTTCTGCTGAGGAGTATAGCTCCGAGGAGTTGGACGGTTGAGGGGTTCGTTCCTACGCTCGAGTTTGACGATCTTATCTTCAAGCTGTTCTGAATGAATGAATGCTACTTTTGATTCCGCCAATGCGGCGATGTAATAAATTTATGTAATTCCGCACTATTTGTACTCTGATGTTATCGTTGTATGGATGTGATATTCGACTGGAATTTGGGTAATATGATCTACAACGGTCCTATTACACTTCGACTCTGTGGATTTCCCTTTGCGGAAATCGGGGTTGTTTCGGACTTCGTCAATCTTGAGATTCGCCGGTCCGACTTTAGTTCTTCGAAAGTGCTCATAGGGGTAGGGTGTGTATACGTGCGTTTATAGGGGTGAGTGTGCGCTCTGCGCTGGGTCTCACAAAAAAAAAGAAATCCTTTGAACTAATAGGAATAGAAGAGCTAAGCTCTTTGTGCATGCCAAATGTATGGAAACATAGCTCCTCTCTCTATTAGGGGCGTCACTAGCGAGGCTAGCGACTTCGCTTTAGTGACCTAGCACCAAAAAAAAGAATAAAAAAGCAAAACTGGACGCAAAGACGAATGGACCTAGGAGAGCATAGACTAGATTCTTTAGAAACCGTGCTAGACTAGGGACTCATATTTTCCAGCCTCCTCTCTCTCTCAATGTCGACGAGAAATGGCAAATTGCTCTTAACGTAGGCGATCCGTTGGGGAACACCCTTACATGATTCTCACATGTAGGTATACATCATGATGAGATTGTATTCAAGAGTGGTACATGACTCTTACTATTAGAGGTGTCCTATCCAACCTACTAGATCCATGCTCTGCCTTCGTAGTTTTTTGTGTTAAAAGAAAAAGGATGTGACTAAGGCCGGTTGCATTTGGTTTATGGACGAGGTACGGCAAACTGGTTCATCCTAGTTTTTTTGGATGAGATGATCCTATTCATACGTGTGTGTTTGTTTATGGGGATAGTGTCACCCATATCGTGTTTGGTAGTAGGAGGACCAGGGAGGGTGGTGGCAGGGCTAGTGAGGGACACCAGGAATGGCGTTTTCCAGATCTGTTAGCTACCGTTCGTGGCCCCAAGATCTCGGCCACACACAACAAAGAAGAAGGCCATGGCAGCCTTGTCTAGAGAAGGGAAGAGCTATCAAGGGCATGGGGCCAGAGACTGGCGTGCGTCACCTTGTTCTGAGCTCGTGGTAGAGCGAAGGGGCCTGCCCGATGTAACTCAACTTGCGGTAGGGCAGAGGCTCCCGACCAGCATGACCCGGCTAATGGCCACAAATGGGGCTTGAATAGCACCAGTAGGCCGAACTGATGGCGGTGTGGAGTGGTCCGCTTGGCGTAGCCCAACCAATAGTGGTGCTTGGACAACAGGGGTATGCCGCAACATGGTCGGATCGACTAGTGGTAGAGGTGGAGCTCGGAAGCGAAGGAGGAAGAAGGGAGATGACATGAACGTGCAAATGGAGATCGAAGGTGTCAGGAAGGGATGAATCGGCCTCAATTTTGGAGGGAGGAGGAACAATGTCTTAGAGGAATATTTTCTCTTAGGACGCTTCTATATCCTACATGTCTCCAAAACAAACACTAAGATATGAAGTGGAATATTTGCAGGTCATCGATATCTCACTCACGATCCAAACATACTCTAAACTTGTAAACTCGACATACTCACCCCTATGCATACACTACAAAATACTCATTATTTTAAAATGACCCTCAGACTACGAGGACATGGTTTTCTTACTATAAAGGCATACACACATATTAACGAGAGGCTTGCAAACTTAGTATAAACACAAATGGTGGAATGTATACTCCAACTCTGTTTACTACAAGCTCTCTTATTGGCTATGGATATCGCTGTTGGAGCGGGAAAGGAGCACGGCTGTGCTACCATACTCCCTCCATGTTCTAAAAAAGTTGTTTTGCACAGCGACATGGTCTCAAAAACATAACTTTGACTTCTTATTTTTATAAAAAATATTTATTGAAAAGTGATATATGTATATTTTTATGAAAGTATTTTTTCAAGACAAATCTATTAATATGGTTTTCATATTTTTAAACTCAACAACTTAAAAGTTATTCACGATTTATACTGCTAATGATCAACCCAAACATTTTCTTTTAGGAACATGGAGGGAGTATGGCCTGTGCAAAATTTTTGAATGAACCGGTAGAATATCGTATTAATTTGTATTGATGATAAGGATTAAGGAAGGAAGCATATACAAGCTCTGGAGGCGAAAGAAACACTAATATTATATTTGATTTCAGAAATGAGATAAAGTCTTACTACTAGTACAAAGAATGAAGTCAATATTTTACTAAATTTAAAGAATAAATTTATGATGCATTCATTTAAAATAGAGCGATTTCTCAAACCAAACATCTTACCTTGTTCACGGGTTGAAACCAGTGTATTAAATCGTGGGCTGTGCCATTTATATAGCGACTTGCCTCCTCAATAGCCAAACACAGGCTAAATCTTACTATAGCGATTAAATTACATACATGGGAGCAAATAACTAGACCGGATTTATATTGTGTCTAGCAGAATTGTGTCTGATTTTATTTAAATTTTGTCCGTGGGAGTATGCGGCATTGATCCGGCGGCCATCCACTCATCAGTCAGTATACTCGGTAGTCACTGGTTAGCACAGGCAATCAACCAACCCAATCAGTCCGGCAGTTCCAGATTCCGGTCATGGTCACACTCAAAATCGCAGGCGAATACGCATCCATCCATCCCTCTGCCGCACCCGCGCGCAGCGGATGGAATCGCCCAATCACCTTTGACGTGTGCCGCACTGGTGTTTATCGCAGCGGACACTGGCGACAGCGGTGGACCCGCGAGGATTCCCGGCGCTCCTCCACTGGATTTGGCGGGGCGGCGGGGGCAAAACGAAAACGAAGCCAATCCCCCGGAATGTGTGCTCGCCGCAGCCGCGTTGGCGTCGTCGTCTCCCCTGCGTTTGTTTTTCCTGGGGGCACCGGAGCTTCACCGCAGTCCGCACACCATCTTCAACAGGGACAAGCACTTTTCTTGCACGCAAACGCTTGGCCCATGCCATGCCCCAGCGCACGCACTCCCAGAAGGAAACGTCGCGCCTTCCACTATCAGTGAGGACTGGTCTTGGTAGGAATGGCCGGTGATGCTACGGGCCAGTCGCGCAGGGCCATACACCTCGGGTCGGCTGGCTCATCGCCGTCGTTGTTGTACTGTTCCAGCTGACTGAAGATGCATGCGCAGCACAGTGAGTTTTCTACCAGCTCGGTGTCCAGCCAACTGCGGTAATCCTGAAAAGGGCGCTCGTTAAAGCACGTTGTCTGTATTAAACATTTCTACTTTAATTATAAAGATACATAGATCTTTTGTGTATTCAAGAAAAAAGAGTTTTCTACCAGCTCAGCTCCTACGATGCATGCGCGGGCGCGGTCCTCGTCACTCATGAGCGCCATCGTTGAACAGACAGGGGGGCACTGCTCCTGGTTGTTCTCGGCCGTGGGATGTGAAAACGAACGCACCGTATCAAATCGCTTGGCCGGCCCACTGTCCTGTTACAGTGTCACGGCTAGGACGACACAGAGCACTTTGCCTCGACATAGTGCAATTCGTTCTGTAGTACCCGTACCTTTTTACAAAAGCAAGGCGCACAAGATACCTACAACTACAAAGGAATCATTTCGATTTCAACACAACAACGCGGCGTAAGCAAGAAGCAGCTAGGCGACACGGTCCAAGGCGGTGACTGACAACCGTTTCGTGTTCGTGCCAATCCGGGCGACACCATCCCCAAAACCGCCACGAAATTCCCAAACTTCGCTCGAGTCACCGGGCCAAACGTACAACCTCCTCCGTCAATCACAAGGCAAAATCGTGTTTTTCCTCAAAAACAAGGCACAATCGTCCTCGTCTGACTCTCCTCCGCCCGCCCGCCCGCCCGTGCGCCTTCCTTTTAAAAATCCCCACCAAGAGTGACGACTGACGAGAGGACGGCAAACAATGGCGGCACCAGCTGCCTGGTCATCGTCAGCGCCTCCTCTGCGCGCCTGCTTCCTGCCACTTCTGCTACTCCTCGCGTCCTTCTCGGCAGCACCAATCTTAGCAGCAGCGCGGCCGTCGTCCTCCACCCCCAAGAAGCCTGCTGCTTTCCCGGCCGTCACTCCTCTGCACCTGCAAGCTCTGCAGCGCCAGCGGGCAAGCAGCAGCATCAGGGGCGGCGGTGAGCTCGTCGCCGCGGCCGCCGATGGCAGCAGCGGCAGCGGCGCGGCCAACGGTACCGCGGCGAAGAAGCCCTTCACGGCGCACTACTTCGCGCAGGAGCTGGACCACTTCACCTTCACGCCCAACGCGTCCATGGTCTTCCGCCAGAAGTACCTCCTCAACGACACCTTCTGGCGGAGGCCCAGCGGTGGCAACGACGCCGGCGCCGGGCCGCTGTTCGTCTACACCGGCAACGAGGGCGACATCGAGTGGTTCGCCACTAACACGGGATTCATGTTCGACATCGCGCCCAAGTTCGGCGCCCTCCTCGTCTTCATCGAGGTACCGTACCAACTTGTAATTGTAACCATGGTTGCTTACTTAGAAACCACTGTGTCGTAATCTTGGATGAATTAGCTAACATAGTAAAAAATCTTCGGCTCCACAATCCACATCTACCCAAGACAAATCTTTCGCTGTCGGTAACACTGACCTGACATATTCTTTGCTGATTAGCATTGCTTTGTCATATACAAAGAGCTGGAAGAAGAAGAAAAAAAACCGTCACAGAAACACCACACTAATCCAGCATCACTCAAGCACTAGTTTTCTCAGCTCGTCTGAACCGTGCGCTTGCTTTTCCTAACGCTGCAGCAACTGAGCTTTGATGAAACCGTTTCCTCCATTGCAAATTCGTCATTATTGATGAACAGCACCGGTTCTACGGGGAGTCGAAGCCGTTCGGGAACGACTCGTACAAGTCGGCCGAGACGCTGGGCTACCTGACGTCCACGCAGGCGCTCGCCGACTTCGCCATCCTCATCAGGAGCCTGAAGAAGAACCTCTCCGCCGAGGCCGCTCCCGTCGTCGTCTTCGGCGTCTCATACGGCGGAAGTAAGTCATCCGGCCGCCATTGTTGATCTTGATCGGGCACTACTACAGTAGCCATCTATCTGTTGCCAGGAATGCACATGATGAACATGTACTACTTGTCATGTTTCCTTGGGACGCGGATCTGGATCTGTTAAATTATCCTAGAAAAGATCAATGAATGATCTTCTGTTTATTTAAGTAGTAATATATATACGGATGGCGTTGTGTTCAATGTGTTGTACTGTTGCGTGTCCGATTAGGACGTGTTGATGGGATACTTAAACTAACTCTCTTTTGTTTATGGTTGTGCTTCACTGATGCTCGTTGTTTTGTTTGCAGTGTTGGCCTCCTGGTTCAGGCTCAAGTACCCCCACGTCACCATTGGGGCAGTAGCGTCCTCCGCGCCAATCCTCCAGTTCGACTACATAACACCGTGGAGCAGCTTCTACGATGGCGTCTCGCAGGACTTCAAGGTAACAAAATTATATGCTTCTGTATATATAGGGTTTAAAGATTGAAGTTTGTTCTTGTCCGGGTTCAGTGACAGCTTCTAATTGTATCTGACTTCTGATGACAAAATTTTATCAAAATATCTGCTCAATGTCCCGGATAGCGTACGGCAAACGACACCTTTTGACCTGTGTGCCCAGGTCTCCAGGACACTCTGCTCTGCTAACCTGTAGCGTGGGCTCTGAATCAATAGCATTAATCTCATGTAAGGACACATCGGTTAGCATGTCTTTCGGTCTTTCCTGCAGGCGGCTAGAGGACCAGTGAGCGCTCGCTCAGCGTTTTCAGTTGGTTATAGCTGCACCTGCACTTGACACCTTGCTCCTTCTCAGTTGTCTCTGTATTGTTCACAAACAGGAAAATTAATTCAATTGATTGAAATGGTACATGCCAATAATGCAGCTAGATCAGGTCCTCATGAGTCAAGACTGATAGTTCAGTGTTTTATTAGCTCGATTGCGATACTCAAACTGTGCATTATTAGGCTTACTTGAGTCACATAACTTCCCAAGTTTACTAGCAATAGGTGCATGCAAATCTCGTTTCGACCTACATGAAAATTGTATTGCGGTTCAGAGAACTCTTCTTTTTTCTGAAACACCTGAGTGTTTTTCTAAAAAAGGAAGCCGCCATTTCTAGCATGCCGAGCGTAAAGAAGGCAAAAAGCAACCCAAGTAGCTCTACTGCTAGAGTGCTGGTGGCATCTTTGTCAGATTGATGCTTTTTCGTCATTGTCCTAATCAGCAGCAAATTGCCATTTTTCTTGTCAAGATGTTGACTGATTGTAGCTTGCAACCAATGTATGCAGTCTGAGAGCTTGAACTGCTTCAGTGTCATCAAGGGAACCTGGGATGTCCTGGACGAGAGGGGGTCCACAGACAAAGGGCTCCTGGACCTCAGCAAACTTTTCAGAGCCTGCAAGTAAGCTCGTTAAGCTGAATTACTGGTTTTGGTTCCTGCCTGCAAGTAATGCTTGAGACCTTGAGTAATGGGTTGCGTTGCGTGAAGTGCAAGTAAGTCGAGCATTAGCCAAACATTTAGGCAAGAAATGAGGTGACTTGCAGGCAGCAATCAAGGGATGGATAGTATACACAGCAGGAAAATAATAGTTGTTTGCAAGCTTATCATGTTTACGCAAGCAGCTATAGGTTTTCTAGTGGCTTATATACATCATTCGATGACTAATACAACAGGCATGTTTAATTATCATGACAAGGATGCTAAGCTAAACCGATGAACTGATGATGACTAACCATTTATTTTGTTTTCTTGGAGGCATGGGACATGTCTTTCCTTTCCGGTCTTACGACCGTAGTGTTGGCACCAGGGTGCCTCATGTACATAAAACTCTTACCCCTTACTTAATTGAGCGGCAGAGCTTCTGCCTTTTATTTCAAAAAAAAATTAAGGATACCTTAAATACAGTACAGCTCAAATTAGTTTTTTCTTCACTCAAATTTCAGGACAGTGAAGTACGCTTATTCAATCCGAAACTGGCTGTGGACAGCGTTCAGTTACACTGCCATGGTGGACTATCCCACCCCAGCCAATTTCCTGCAGAATCTGCCTGCCTACCCTGTCAAGGAGGTTTTACATTTTACCCACATGTCAAAAAAATTAACCATAGCATGAAGTGTTAAGAATTGCCACACGAACTATTCTTCGGTTCTTCTGAGCATTTGTTTCAGAACTGTCTGCGAGACGGAACCCTGCATCATTGTAACAAGAATCTGCACTTCAGTTCTACCCATCATGAAGTTTCACATGAAAACATCTGCAGATGTGCAAGATCATCGATGGGTTTCCCGCAGGCGCAGATATCCTGGAAAAGGCATTCGCAGCGGCGAGCTTGTACTACAACTACACAGGAGACCAGACTTGCAATAAGATAGAGGATGGAGACGACCCGCATGGCCTCGATGGCTGGCAATGGCAGGTAAAACCTGAGAGATAAGTAATACCATGTTAGTGAATAGTGACGACAATGAGAATCTGAGATTGTAACATACTCCTGTACGTGCAGGCCTGTACAGAGATGATCATGCCCATGACGGTCTCCAACGAAAGCATGTTCCCACCATCCACCTTCACCTATGATGAAAGGTCAGATGAATGTTTCGAGAGCTGGGGGGTTCGACCGAGACCGCATTGGATCACAACTGAATACGGTGGATATGTAAGTGGTGTTTCAGAATTTCAGTTTGCAGGAATGAACCATAAGTGGAAACAATTGCTGGTACGTATCAAATGCTCATCTGGTGCTTCATTGCACATTTTCCTGCAGAAAATTGATAAGGTGCTCAAGAGGTTTGGGAGCAACATCATCTTCTCCAACGGAATGCGAGACCCATGGAGTCGAGGCGGGTAAGTCTATCTGATCATTTCTTTTTATTTCCCATCATTCATCAGCATAATTTAAGTCTTTCAGAAACATTTTTAATGCGCTGGAGTATCTGTAATCCCCTTTCCCTTGTGTTGCAACCAGGGTGCTCAAGAACATCTCATCCAGTATCATTGCCCTTGTCACAGAGAAAGGTGAGCAATAAATTGCAGAAAGAAAAATGTAAGACTGTAGTAGCAACATTTTCCCCCCGATTCACTTATTGGCAGTTATTTGTCACGGTGATCAGGTGCACATCATTTAGACTTCAGATCTTCAACAAAGGGTGATCCAGACTGGGTTATAGAACAAAGGAGACAAGAAGTTGACATCATTCAGGGATGGATTGATCAGTATCATCAGGACATGCGGGAAACATCTTCCTGACAAGGCGCCATTGCTGTTACAGTCAGGGAAAACAAATATTTGGATCCATGGAAAAAAATAAAGGACAAAAAAGGAATTTGTATTCTTACACATGATGATCAACAGGGCAAAGTTAACAGAAGGTGAAAAAAATCAATAGGTTACGCACTAAGCATCAGAAACTGCTAAATCTTACACAAAGCAAGCCCCCTTTATCAATTAGGAAGGGGAGGTGTAGGTGCTGGACTCAAACCTGACCGGACCAGTGAATCGACTGATCGTGCAGGCCTCTGGCCAGCAGACCAAGCCAGTCTTGGACTCTTGGTTCAGTTTCTGTTTTTTAACTGTATTGCTTCTTCTGTTGAGCTCAGCAAGGAACAGTGGCGCTATATCGACACTTTCTCTCTGTTTCGCATGTAGATTAGGGCTATCCATATTTCGAGAAAATAACAGTAATTGTATGGCTATCCAACACATACTCCAAACTTAGATCCATCTGGCATTACCTAGTTTATGATCCCAAGGAACTAAGATAAGATCCCTAAGAACAACTAGGTTATTCTGTGTGAAAAAAAATACTGATCCAAATTCAGAACCAAAGATTGTATAGATCGGGTTAGCAGGGGAGGTAGACCCACACCTCCCTCCAAACTTAATCAAGTTGAAACCTACAGAAGATGCAAGAGCTTATCTGCATAGCTATAATACATGACATGTGATTCCACTGAAGGGACCTGCTCCTAGGCCCTAGCTAGCCTACTCCAAATAGCACAATTTTGCACATACAATGTACAACACACAAGAACCATTTGTCACAAGATGGGAAAACACACAAATGCAGAAACATCTTCCTCCCATTAAAGGCCCCGTTCGCTGGTCTAAAACTTGGCTAAAACTGGTTGGTTGTGTGAGAGAGAAATACTGTAGCGGTTGAAAGATGCACAGTGATTTATGAGAGAAGCAGCCAGCTGGTCTGAAAAAATCAGACCAGCGAACGGCGCCAAATTTACATCACGGAGCAAACTCCATGTTCCCATTGAAGAAAGCATCATCATTGTTGAGTAAATCCTGTTGTGAGAAAAGAAGTTGAGTTAGATAAATCACACTTAAGTAGTCATCAATTTCACATGTAAAGCCTATTGTGAAATAAGTAGACAGGAAAATGATAAAAAAAGATCTTACTTGTTTAACCCAATCGGCGAAAAAGGCCTCTATATCATCAATGGCTCCATTCTGTGCCTCGCTTGTTCCTGTGGGAAGTTCATTGGTGCTATTCACTTGATCACCAACAGGATGCAGATCAATGTTGCTACCTTTAGGGAGATTGCAACTTGCAACCCCACCATTCAGCATCTGGGCTGGCATGACATAATTGCTAATCTGCACTTCCCTTGTTGCCACGGGGAGTTGATTGTTGTTATTCTCTTGATCACCAACAGTTTGATGACCAACGGTACCACCTTCAGGGAGATTTCCAGTTGTACCCCCACCATTTGGCATTTGGGTCAGTATGACAGAATTACATATCATATCTTAAGGTTAGACAATGCAGGTCTAGTGCTTAAAGAACTACCTGGAGCAAATTTGTTAATTGGCATCACTGTAGAGCTTCCGTTGTTTCCAAAGTTGAATGGTGCTAGGGTTGCCTGCTCATTGAAGCTTACCATTGGTGTTGTTGTCCCTATGACTCCTGCCATTTGGTTTTGATATTCATTTCTAGAAGTTGGAACACTGTGAGAAGAGGCTACTAGTCTTAGCAACTGGTTCATGAAGATGTCGTTTCTTTGCGATGGACCAACAAACATTCCAACATTTTGACCAATTTCATGGAAACTGGACGACACACCAGTTGTCCAGGAGTTGCTAGAGTTTCTAAATCTGGTAAACTGGGGAGGCTCCCTGGCAACTGGGTTGAACATGCCAACAGAAGATGACTGAATCTGAATTGAAGGTTGGTTCACTAACTCAGGTGACTGTAATGATAAATGACTCGAAGGAGCCACTAGGTCAGTAGACAATGATTGCATTTGAACCGAAGGGTGGTTTGCCAACTCAGGAGACTGCAATGGTACATGACAAGCCGACATCTCACCACTTGCTATTTCTTCAAAGAAGCTGTCAGGATCAAATGGAATACCTTTGTTTGACCCCAAAATACTGGCACGCAATTTGCTTGCATAGGAGATGCCAGAACGAGATGAAGGAAAGCGCATGCTTGTGCCCAATGGTTGATGATCATTTGAAATGTTTGTAGATGAACATTCTGGTACACTCATGTTGCTATCAACGTGTGTCTTGCCATTCAGCCATGCTTGTTGTTCATCCACAAATGCTGAGTACTTGAGTGTGCCCTCTTTCCAGTTTTTCAAGTACATACGATACTTCTGATATCATAACATAGACAAGTACATTTGTTAAGGGAAAAAATTGACACAAACAAAAGCTGAAAATGTTTTGCTGTTTGATTAACTCTAGAAATGTATGTGTGATTGCCACTGAGGGTTTGTGGTTCTCCACACATGCCAAAACTCAACATATGTGTGTATGGCACTAGAACTATTTATGTGGTGCACACAGAAGTTCCATGAGAATGTTGCAAACACAAGTTCTGGTGACAAACATAAATATTAAGTTTGAGACGACAATTGGGCAGGAGCGAGTTTGATACAAATATATTTAATAATAAGATAGTGGATAAGAACTCAAACATAGGAATCAAGCATAAGAGTATAACCAAAACCTACAGATGACTTGAAACATTCTGTCTACTGATACCGTCTACATTCATCACTTCGAGTATTTTCTTCGGAACAGCCTCTGCAATTATATCAACAAAAGATTTATTACTAGAAACAAACTTAACATATTAATTAAGCTTCATGTTGATAGAAAAATCAATGAAAAGTAAGATCTTACTGTCCATGCCAATGTGATTGATGGCTTCCACAAACTTGGAGTGCAGCTGACTAGACCACTCGACCCTTTGCTTTTTCTGGGTCGATATGTTCTCATCCTTTTCAGCACCATCTCCATCTTTTCTGTTCTTCTTCCAATGCTTCCTGGTGTGCTTTGCATCATCCTTTTCACCATTCTCATCATCCACAGATTGCACCATTTGACTAGGATTATCATTTCTGCTGCTGACTTTGTTCCTTGGATTACTCTTGCTCTTCCTCACCACATGCATCCATATGTTCTTGACCATTTCAGGGCGTACTGGCTTCACCATATAGTCACAAGCTCCATGCTTTATCGCCTTCACCATAGTCTCCATCTCATCATTCGCAGATAGCACTACATGACATGAGGTGAACATAAGAGATTAGTTACGAAATGCACATGCTAATAAGCTTGGTAGACTAGACGTCAAACACTTATGTATCATTTGTGTTATTCATTTGACATATTGTCCTCTTTTCATTTTCATAAACTTATTTAAAAAAATGTATGACACACACGTCAAAACGGCATGTATCAATCATGGTCACTTTTCAAATAATTTGATAAGAGAAACTTGACAAATCTATTATGTAATAGTTATTCCCCTCATCCTCATGAAATCAAAATTACCTGTTACATTGAGTAATGAATGGAGCTTAACCACAATGTGTAACCATTATCTTGGTTTTGCACCTAGACCAGATATACTAACTCTTGTACAACCACAAATGACATGGATGATTCAGTTTACGAAGTGCTTACAAAACCAATGTTGACACATGAAACTGGAAGGACGTTAGAAAAACTCCAAATAAAAAAACCAAGTAGTTACCTTGATCGACATCAGAAAAACTCCAAACGAAAAAAACCAAGTAGCTACCTTGATAGCACAACAACAAATTAATTTAGTAGCAATCTTCATTGCACCTAGTGCTTATGAACTAACGGTGATGCATGAACTACAAACTACAAAAAATCAATCGCATGTAGGGATTATGAACAAAAATGTAACATCTAAAACTAAAATTGAAAAAAGTTGACAGCTCCACACCACTTAGAGCTTAATGTCAAATGGTAATGTACAAAACTTGATATAGCAAAAAAAATCGATTACATGTTGGGCTTACTAACAAAATGTAACATATGAAACTAGAGAAGACAAAATTAAGTGGTCAAGACGAAACCACCTAGTACCTACGAAGAAATAATAAAAAGCTATAAACAATAAAAACTCATTAACATGTGGGCTACGACTGTAAAACAATAAAAAATAAGTGATCAGTTCGACAACAAACAAATGGTAATATTCAAAACTACAAAAATGACAAGAAAATCATGTGGAGCTTACATATAAATCATATCATAGAAGCTAACGGGGTCAATATTAAATTATCAACTTGATGCCATCCAACACTTAAGAACAAATAACAATATACAATATTATAAATCACAAAATTCAATTGCATGTAGGGCTTATAAGAATTGCAGCGTACATGCAACTACAAACGACTAGAAAAAGTAGTAATGATAATACCGTCTTGTTGTTACAAACAAATAGTAACATACATATAAGTACAGAATGACAAAAACCAGTAGAATTTATGAAAGAACTGTAGTGTATGACAAGTACAAACCAGAAAATTAAGTAGACAGTTCGACAAGATCACCTAGTTCTTATGAGTAAACAGTAGAGTTAAAACAGCAAAGTAAAGAATTTTCTTGATTACAACTAGCGCTTGCAATCAAACGGTAATATAAAAAATTGATTGCTTGTACGCGGGACTTACAAAAAACTGTAACTTATGAAACTATAAGTCAACAATATCTAATGTGTAAGAAAAACGGTAACATCCAATGTACCAATAACAAAATTTAATTTCATATAGACCTTACGAGCAAACTTTAGCGTACATGAAACTAAAACAAAAATATTAAGGCAAATTTTGCTATGGGCCATCGGATAAACATGGCATATAATAGGATAGCAGATAACTGTGATTTTATAATGCTATGCAAATTTTAACGTTTGTGGTGTGAACTAGCCAATGTCATGTTTCTCCGATGTCCCACATCAAAATTTG